ATTAGCTGCTACAGCAGGAGTGCCATAATATTTCTGCTGAAACAACATTATAATGCAAAACTGGTTAGCTTTAAAAAAAACTTTATATTTTTTTCTTTTTTTGATTGGATTTGTTTTGATCTTGGCCCAGCTCAGATTAGCCATTAGTCAAGGTCAAGGTTCTTTATTGTCATTCGCATCACGTGATGTATGAGGTGGAATGAAATTGTGTACACATTGGCTTGTCAATCCAGTCAATTAAATGCCATTTCTTCAAACTGAGGTCATTCAAAGAAATATCTACAACAGATAAGATTAAGTTCTTGTATTTTCCACAAAACACCACTTCAAAGGATATGAACGCTCTGTTTAAGGTACTTAGTGTATAATTTGGCATGTATAAATGCTGTTTATGAATGTTCAATCACCGAATTGACACCCAGTTGTTTGGTATGTTACTGATGTGTGGTGTCACCTCTTGGCTGTGGGGTTGCAATCCTCTGACCTATATTATCAAGTGGCCCGCTGGCTGTGTATGTCGCTTCACTAAACTGTCCACTGCCTAATTCAAAATGACAGCGCAGTGTGGATGGGTGGCATTTACATAAGGGGCACGGCCCTGAGTTTCTAAAGCACATCTTTAAAGCCCCAAATCCAAGAAGTGAGTCACAGACCCCTGCTGCGCCTGAACGCTGCTGGGATGATTCATCTTGGACAAATTACAGTCAGTCTAGAGTTGAGACGGTTGGTCGTAAAATCAGCAAACAGTTGTTAAAGTTGAGGATGATGATGAGTTTGATTTTTTTAATTTTTGTATTAATTTCTCAATAATGTTGATTTGAAATGGAACCGAACTGAGAAACTAACACTTTTGAGCAGTCTAAATAGAATTTTTTTTTAAAAGGAACCTGAAATGGTTTATTTCAGTATCTTTGGTGTAAATATTTGCTGTTGTCACCATTTAGTCCTATTATTTAAAGCTTAAGACTGTGTGGACTGAATATAATCCCCTATCTTGACAAGCCTTTTTGTCATTTTCTGGACTTTATACCTTCAGATTGTGCTGATATAGAAAATATAATCACTGGTGGGAGCACCGCCTCATTGTTTTTGTCTCTGTGGTGGCGAACCAGGTTGATGCAACAATGTTAGTGTAATTCTTACTCAATAACTGCTTTGGTTGGCCTCTTCTCAGAAACGCTTTCTGTAGAAATGTGGCACATTTCCTAATTCTCTACTATTTGCATGTTTCTCAACCGAATATGATGACCTAAACAAACTACAAACCATTAATCATCTATTTGCTCCAACTTACGGAGCTTAACCAGTGCGATTTAAGCTTGTAAATATAAAAGAAGGCCACAAAAAACTTATTTTTATGTTTTTTTGTAAAGTTAATATAGCTGATTGTCTAGGCTGCAGCTCTCTTCATAAACGGATTACCGTAATTTCCAGACTATAAGCCGCTACTTTTTTCACACGCTTTGAACACTGCGGCTTATACAATGCTGCGGCTAATTTATTTTGATGGGCTAACGAGCTTCATGCCACCAAAACATTTAGCTTCGCCACACCCAGGCGCTCACATAGCTGCCCAACACACATCTCTCTTGGGGGGTAGCGATCAATGACTTCCTGGTAGACTACTGTGTTTTTTTTAATTATCAGCCGTGTTACAGGCACTGTTCAGAAAAAAACACATAATTTACTGTATTTGTGCGTGTTACTGGTACATATTTAATAACAAGTTAAAAAAAACCTTTCTGTGTAAATATCTCATGTTACAACGTGAACACTCACGGCTTATAGACAAGTGCGACCTATTTATATAAAATTTTAATTTTCTTTTTAAATTTAGCGGGCGCGGCTTATATTCAGGTGTGCTCAATAGTCCAGAAATTACAGTATATTCTGGACTGTGTTGACAGCTGCTGCCTCACCTGGTGTGTCTTGCTCTCAAGCCAAACAAGTCCCTATCCCGGATCCGTTGACACACACAAATCAGCATTTCTTTCAGCAGGTTAATATAAAAGCGACCGTTATTTTAAGGTTTGACGTTGCTGAGCGCGTGTGCTCTTAGTGCTGTTGAAGTCTTCGACAGATCGCTGTTCGGTTCTTTGAGTACATCATCAGTGCAGCAGTACTTCGCTAAAACATTCTGGGGTTTTTTATGTGTTGTCAACAAGATTGCATCAAAGTACAGTATATAATTCTGTGGAGAAACAGTGCAATGTGGCTTTTGGCTGCAGGCTGAATGCTATTTACTGTTGTTCTGCATTATTCAAATGGCCTGCTTTTCTGAAGGCAGAAACAGCAGTCAGTTTTTTATCGCACGGAAAGCCGGTTACAACCACCCGCCACTACTTGACAGCTGAAGACAGCTCATTATAAGACGAGCAAAAAAAAAAAAAAAATTCCCATGTTTGATGTTTTTACTTAGTGAGGGAGGCACAGCTATATCAAGCTATCCCTCGCAGGCTTTTTCTTTATAAGGAAATTCTGTCTCCAACTGGTTGGGATTTGATATGCCTGTAGTTACAGATGATGTGAGAGCTGAATGTGAGTAATTGTATAGACAGAACACTCAGATAGAATATGAAACGCTGAAGAAGTCGGGTGTTTGCTTTTAGAGAATGGCTGCAAAAACAACACTTTGGGGGGAAAAAAAATAAAGATCAATCAAAGCAATAAAGAATTGCAAGGCTTATCCTAACATTTTAAAGATTAAAAGTGAAGGGATTTGCAGCAGAGTTGTTGTTTTGGATTAAATAAGACTTTTTAATTGTAGCTTTATTGTGTGCACACCCTCTACTTACACACATAAATATAACATAATGAGTGTTATTTTAATGTCAGCTCTTTGAAGGGGAAACACACGCAGTTAGACAGATGCCTGGTAAATTGGAGATAACCAAGGTAAACATCAGAGACCTAGTTGGTGTGTTTTAGCCTGTAGACATCTGTCCTCCAGATTTCCCTATTTCTGTAATAGCCATCTCACAGCAAACCACTCCATTCTGTTGGTAACAAACACTTCAGCCATTAGCGCTTCAAATGGAAACACATTTAAGCGTCTCTGCTTCCTTCCCCACTCTGCTGGTCTTGAAGTTCTTCGAGTTTGAGAGTTATTAAAAGGAGCTGAATCAACTCCAAGTGGGAAAAACAAACAGCTAAGGGAAAGCAAATCTTATTTAGTGAGCCAACAGAACAGATTACCGGTAAAGTTCTGTGTACAAAGCCATACCTGCAGTGTCAGCCAAAGATTTAGATTAATAGTTTCAGTTTTATGCGCATGAAAGATTTTTCACTCGCATAGTTTTTGCTGTTTATTCATTAGACCCACGCTGCGGGTAATTCTCTTTTTTTTTTTTATCTATTCCTCTACTCTTTTGACGGTGTAATCAGAGCTGCTAAGTTTGACTTGAAAAAGCATAAAATCTCCACACTCCTGGTGAATATTGATAGCTGAACTTCCTAAATGCTAATCAAAAGTCTAAAAAAAAACTACACCTTTGTCCTCATTGACATTGATTTAACTCCTGACATGAATTCAATTCGGCAATCATCCACATCATTCATATTCATGAAGCTGCAATTTACTTACATTAATGTGCATCCACAGCCAGCCGTTGCTACTTGATACACATACTAATTTAGTTGATAAATAATGGCCGTCTGTCGTGTTTCATTTACTGATGGTATCCTGATTTTGATCTCCAGTTTACCCAACTTTTGATGGTAAATATTTCACCCCCCCAGTCCTAATTATAGGCATGAATAGTAACATAATTTAGTTCACATGATTCACTATTATTCCAATTATCCATATGTATATAGTCATGGAAACTGTCTGAATATTCAGTTGTAATTCAGTTATACCCTTTTGTATACTGTAATACGTAAGTACTACCATATTCAGGTGCACCACTAAGGGGGGACCACAGGGAGGCAATGAACCCCACTATAAATCTGCTGAGCCCCCCAGTGATACAATCTTATATACATAACCTGTCATAAATTTAGTTATTATTTAAACTGCTGGGTGGATTTTAATTAAACTCTCAGAAACTTGTCAGTAGATGTCCCTCGACAACTGACTACCTTTTGGTGTCAGCGTGATCCAAGATGGCCACCACAACTCAGTCAATGTGGAAAATATTGAATATGTCAATTTTGCGTGGTAGTAGCTGATAGTCATTCCCTAAACATACTTCAAGTGCCAACAGAGCTCACAAGGACTTTTGTTAAAACTTTGACTTGTAAGTTTGTGATTTACATGCATTCTTTCAAGAAATGCTAGTTTTAAAAATAAATAGGAATTTAAGAGAGTAGAGGACAATTCCAATGGGATGAGCACTAGCTGTGTTTTTTTTTACAATTAGTAATATTCACTTTAAAGGAATTGGATGTGCCAATCCCAACATTGCAGTATTTTTCTAAACGCCTAAACATGACAACAGCATAAAAATCAGTTACTGGTGGCTTCTTCTGGTCTGATCTTTCTGTGGGCATTCCTGACCATATATTTATATTTATATAATGTATTCAGTTAGCATAAAGTTGAATTTAGACGTTACAATCAGGAGCTTTTTTTTTTTTTACTTGGTTAGGATCTTGCTTAGGTTATGGTTGTTACTGTATAGTTCACGAAGGATTTTGCAAAAACAATGAAGAAAGTGTTTTATAGGGGAAAATGATTTGTGTAACAAGCCTTTTCTTTTTAATTAACATGAAACTATTGTGCTATATTGTTTTCTATTGCACTATTTTGTCAGGATCATCTGTTGGTCGTTTAGTTATTTATATTTGCGTTTTAAGTCTTGTACAAATAAATTTTTTCAGGCTACATTTATTTACTGCCAGAATAAGCTTTTGAATATAGTACATCAACATAATTAGAGAAGTCCACTGGTCAAACAAGTTCAAGTTTTATAATTAGTGAAAGTAAATAATACTCTATAAAATACCTTCATTATTGTAACTCCGTGGTTTTTTTCCTATTGTTTTCATTTACTTTTTAGCATGAGGTCATCGCAGTGTCAGAGAAGGTGATCGTGCGGCTGTCGGACCTGGTGAAGTGGACGGTACCGGACTTCTCAGGATGGGACAACGGTCTGAAGGTGGAGCCCCTCAAACCCTCTGTGCTCCGGGAGCTGGGGACCAACGGCAGGCGGGAGGCCCTCCACCGCTACCGGGAGAGCACCCTGACCAGTGGACTCAACTTCAAGGATGTACAGAGGGAGCGAGCGCAGCTGGGTGAGCATCAACGGTCTCCGATTTACTCTGTTTCATAAGTTTGTTGCAGTGTTTGCATCAGCTCCGCGCTGTTGGACGTTTATGTGTTTTGTATTCATTGCTCACCATAAATCACTTAACGTTTGTTGTTTGTTTTGCTTGGTTTAACAAGTGTCTTGACCGGAGTAGTTCATCAGTTTGTAGCTGTAGCTCCTGTGATAATGAGCTGAGAATTACACTAATAGACGCAGGCTTGAGGTAATGGCTGCCTGCTTGCCCAATGCATTATGTTTCAGTGAAACGGCTCTGTTTTCTGACTGCAACAACGGAACCATGGATAAAAATCGCACAATTCAGCTTGGTGCGTTCTTTGAAAGTAATCCGAGTCACATCAAACTACAGTTTAAAGCACCTCTGATACCTTCTTGTCCATCCGTTCAGGTTGTAATTGCGCAGCTCAGCAACTGTGAGGATCATCGCTATTTGCGTCTAAATAGTCGTCTTGTGTATTCATCATGCATGCCATTAAGTGCCACTGAATGCTTGATTCTTGAAGGGGGCTCTTGGGTACTCGCTACAGCTATATTCATGAATCAGTTTCAGCACAAAGCCGAACATCTCTGCAGATGACTCATCCAATGCAAATAGGAAACTCTGGCATTTAGGCCTAATAATCAGAAAGAACAGTATGTTCTCTTTGAAGCCGTTTCACACATACTTGCTTCTCTCTCTATCACATGACTGTGATTTAATGCCTCATGCTTGTTGAGATAGTGTAATAGAACATATCAAACATGCTAAAAATACCATCATAATTATACTACCTCTTGTCAGGTCACTAGTATGCACCTCAGGGAGCCAGAATTTTAGCTTCACCATCTTCTAAAAATGAATTTTTAATGATAGTCTCATCCCAGAAGTGTACATGGAAGCGAATCTGCTACAGGCTCAAAAATGCTCGACTTATTTTGTAGAAAATGTTGATTTATTGATGACTTGTGTTGTGTTTTCTGCTAAGCAAAGAGCAGCGGCTGTGTGTTTTGGTGTGATGCTGTAATGCCCTTGATTACTCATCGTTGCATGAATCTCATACACAAAAAGGACAAGGGAATCAATAATAAATGCTTTGTTGTTATTCCAGTGATCGATACTATGTGCACGTGCTTGTGTGTGTGTGTATGATGGCTTGCTTGCATAAATAGATTTGTCAGCCAGCTTCTTGAGTGGTATTATGTTCCACATTTTGCCTTTCTATAAATGTGCAGCATCGCCTAGCTTTTATAGATTTAACCGTTGTCAGAGCAATAACTTGAGGATAACACTATTGTTACTGCAAGGCTTTATGTGTGTGTTTGTGTGTGTAAATGCGGTGTATATATGTGTGTGTCCATGTTGCTAATGAGCAGCGCTGCCGCTAATGACTCCATCAGGCTGTTTCTAAATGCACTTGTCACTCCGATGGGACACTCCGCCAGAGAATCTGCCCACTCAGCAGAACGGGTTTAGATTCTGGCAGGGCACTAGAGACATGCACACACATACACAAACACTCTGACTCACAAACAGATGCACACACAGACAATCAGAAGCGGGCACTTACTTATTCATTTGTTTTGTTTGTTCACTACGTCTTTTGGCGTGTGTCGGTTGTTGACAGTCCAACAATATGAGGAGTGGTGTAGAGTTTGGGAGGGAAAGCACTTATTCATCCAGGCAAATGAATGTTTCTGTGGTTTTTGCATAGAAAATGAAATATGCCACTGCAATACTGCTGACTACAGAAATTAAATATTCATACTGCAGCAGCAGATCAGATAGAAAAGTAGCCTTAAAGCATCTTGAATGTCTAATTCAGTGTAATTTGTTGGCTCGTTCTCTGGTATTTTTGATAGATATGTACTTATTTTTTGGATTGTTTTAGCACGAAGTGTCTTATTGCTGTATTCCTTTAAATGCTGTATTTGCTGACTGTAATTCTCAGGCTGATTTGTAGCTATGCAAGAAGAATTGGATTGTTTATCATAACAGGATGCTACAGCAAAACGACAATCTGCAAAGAAAACCATTGTGAGCTTAGAAGCAATAAAGTGTGCCATTGTTATAGCGGGGAACAGTGTGGTTTTTTTTTTTCTCTCCCCCAACTGTGTATCCCGAGTTTTCTTGGCATGCCGTCAGTGTGAATGAAATGCCTGCTTATGTATTTATTTCTCACAGGCAACATGTGAAAAAATGTAAGCCAAATGTGTTTCAAAGAGCAGAGTGACATTTTTTCCCTTGATCTGTAGAACATGAGGGATAATGGCTGGGTAAATGAACAATGCTTGACTGTATTTTGTCTTTGGAGATGCATGCCTGCTTAAAATAATTAAATGGAATGACCTTCACTGCAGTCCTGCACCATTCACAGCTCTCTAAAACCTTTGCATCAGGGAAATGGTCAGAGTCATAACTCAAACTGGCAGTGGGACCAGTTTTAGCTGCACTCCTGAAATATTTGCTTTGAAATATTTTATTCTTAAAAATAAATGTAATTTTAGTTTTTTGTTAAAGTGATAGTTCAAACCCTTTAATGTGGGGTTCTGTGGTGGTACAAATATCTGATGGGTTGTTGAAAGCTCTTTCAACGGCCTCCGTTTAGAGACATAGAGATTGGTTTTGACAAGACTAGGGAAGCTAACGGTTAGTCCAAGTGGAGCCAAGACCAAAGTGGATTGTGGCCACTTTAAAAATGTTAGAGAGAGAGAGAGATTTATTTGTCATTCGCATCTCATGTGGTACATGTGGTGGAATGACATTATGTACACACTGTCCCAGTTACATCAAACAATAAAATGTAAAAGAAAAACAGTAATAAGATCTAAGATATGAACTAAGAAAAACATCAACTAAATAATACACTAAGCAACTTAACAACTTAAATCTATCAAATAAATAATCGAGGTTCATTGAAACATCATTTTATAATCTTTTACAGTGGCATCAGTTTTGCATTACACAATGGTTTTCATAGAACTGCTTTAAGCATTAGTAGCCAGCTGTAGCACAACCAGTGTAGCCTGGTGAAAGTCTAACAGAAGTAAATATTTTACTTGAATATTTATGTAATGCAAAAATTGTCAACAAGTTATATAACGCTTAATTCAATTCAACCTTTATTTATACAGATAAATCGCATTGAATCTTGAAGACTCTTTTTACAAGTGAGACATGTTTAGACAGACAATAAAAGTGGTGAAAGCGACAACATAGATTTTGGGGGCAAAACAAATTTCTTAACAAGCTCTCAATCTGTGGCCGAAGATAGATAGCCTGAAAATGAAAAAAAAAAAACCTCACGCACAAGCTCATAATGACGCCGACATTCCACAGGGGAGGGGAGTCACAAGGTATAAGTATAAACTTAGTTAGTATAAAGTTAGTATAAACCTCCATGAAAGTTTTGAGACCGAAGTTATTAGCAAGTTAGCTAACCATTAGCTGGCTAACTAGCTAACATCTTCAGTTAGCTTACAGCTAACTAAGTTGTTAGCTAACTTTAACTTTATTTCTCCAAACAGAAGTTGTTTAAAGAGTTATTTGCAGCAGGTACCAGTTAATTGTTTTTAACATGATTGTGAAACTACTCTAGCTTGTTGAGAAATTAGCCATTTGATAACCCGTTCAATAAACTGACATGTATTCAACATCTGGTAGGGCGCAAATAAAACATTTTATTAGAGTCTAACAAATTACAACTGAATAAACTGCATAACTGCGCAAGACATTCCAGCCCAAGAACACAGAGATAACACGGTTCCACGAGCGCACCGAGTGTGACGAATTGTATTTTGTACTCGTTGCGTAATCTGTAATGTAATTCACTTAATCAGGTAATGCAAACTGTCCACTCAGTTTATCTTGTTCTTTAGTGAGCTTTAGAGCTTTTTTTTTTTTTACAGCTCAATCCACCAGGGATGGTTTGCCAGGGAAGTTTACATTCTGCCCCTCTATCTCTCCCCAGAGGACTGGCCTGATTCCTTTCTCTCTCTTTTTTTTCATTGCTGCCTGCCGAAATTGGTTTCTGCTTGTATACTACGAGGCCGAGCGTGTGAGAGCTGTATCTGCTGATACAGTTTGTTGGCTTGTGCTGGAAGAAACAGAGCTATATCAAGAAAATGATAAAAACCACAAAGAATGGCCTGTGCTCAACAAATGGCTCAATAGGTTTTTTATTGTTCTTCTTCTTTATTATTATTCCATTCAAGGTTTCTTTGCGGAGGTCAGTGGAGCAAATGTGAGTCGAGATGATGTGAGGGATAATAAAAGGTCATAGCTTTTGACTCCTGTGTTCAGAACCATTGATGGTGTTGACTTCTTCTCTCACCTGAGATATCATGTGGAGCTGGTTCATTCCTCGGCGCTGCACGGATCAGGACAAAATATTGAGACTGTAAAAAATCTCCAGTGAAGGAAAAAACTAAATAAAACTGTGTACCACAGAAAACATCTTTATCCTAGGCTTTGTAAAGTAAAATGGCAAGAATAAACTGTAATTTTATCCGTGTAATTCGGTGTTTGCTACACTGGATTCATACTGTTGATCAAACGTGTTTCTGTTTCTACTATACGTTTTTCATCCAAGATCATAAAAGTGTCTAAAAATAAAATCCATTTAGTTTTAGCATCCAGTATTTTTCCATTCGTACTTTTCTGACCTCCTCAAAGCCACATTTTTCTCTTTAAAAGTTTAAAACCTAAAGCTCTTTCCTCTGCAGACCGATATAATAATCTTTTAAGACTTTTAGCACAGATTTTTGCCTTTACCTGGTATTGTTTCTCGTTTGTTTGTTTTTTTGTTTTGCTGCAGTGGATTACAAAGAATACAACAGTGAAATGTCTCAATAAATAAAGAAATAATTTTGCTGTGTTTTATATCCCATACTTTCTTTCTCAGCCAATAAAAATGACGCACACAATACCAGTTTCAAAACAATGGCCCTTTTAGCATTTTTGTTAGCACCCATTTTTCAAAATATGCATAA